AGGTACTATTTAGGTGGCGGATCATTCTCAGCACCGCAGTGACACTGACGTGGTGGTGGTGTGTTAGTGTGTGTTGCGTTGGAACGAGTGAATCAGACACAGCACACGGCCAACAGCGTCCTGTGACCACTGATGAAGCACTAGAGGATGACCAACACAAACTGTGTAGCAACCTCTCTGGCTTTACATCTACAAGGTGGACTGACAAGGTAGGAGTGTCTAATAGAGTGGACAGTGAGTGGACACAGTGTTTAAAAACTCCAGCAGCACTGCTGTGTCTGATCCACTCAGACCAGCACAACACATACTAACACACCACCATCAGTGTCACTGCGGTGCTGAGAATGATCCACCACCCAAATAGTACCTGCTCTGTGGTGGTCCTGTGGGGGTCCTGACCATTGGAGAACAGGGTGACAAAGTATGCAGACAAACAGATGGACTACAGTCTGTAACTGTAGAACTACAAAGTGCTCCTGTATGGTCAGTGGAGCTGATAAAATGGACAATGAGTGTAGAAACAAGGAGGTGGGTTTAATGGAGCGGCAGGCCAGTTCACGCTCTGTCTTTCTCTGTCTCTCTCTCTCTCCCTCCTCCTCTCTCTAGTGTCACCCTCCATCCCCCCCTCGCTCTCTCTCTATCCTTCTGTCTCTCTCCCTATCTCACAAAGCCTCCCAGAAGCATCCTGAAACATCAAGTCAGCTGTTAAATTTAATAGTCATACTATGGAATCCCAGAAATGACAACTGCCATCATCTGGATTAATAAAAAAATCTGAATATAACTATGATATACCTAACTAACATTACTAATAGACGTGAAAAAATATGAAAGCTGCACTGTCACTGTAAAACTGAAACGTACAAAGTTTTGAATATATTCTGTATTGCAGCACTACGTAAGATTTTTTTGTTAAAACTAAAAGAAATTGAATTACTGAGTCACATGCACAGGTTCAAAAAGAAGCTCTGGCTCGATGTATGCTGACTCTACTCTGACTGAATGGAAATACGTGGCATACTTCAATTAAAATCATGCAAGAATATTTCTTCTAATGTGGGAGTGGAAACATAAATTAGCGTTATCATACACTCAATTCAATTATGCCACACATTTCCATTCAATTAAACAGAGTCAGCACACACAGACTTTGTAACCTCAGCATAAAGTTCAGTTGCTGAAATGAAACATTTCAGTTTAATTTATTTGGGTTTCACTGGATTGGATATATGGAAATATACAGTCTTCATAATTAAAATGTGTATTCGTTCATTTGACTGTATGATTTACAGACATATAAGGGCCCATATCCTATATCTGATATTATTGTTTTCCTTATAAGGTCTACTTTTAACATTTGTGTGAAATTATGTTCCAAATCTGTTCATAATTCACTTTATAAAACTGTTTTCAAACCTCTGTTTATCCCTTACAATTGCGCAGGCATTTCTGTTACTTTTCTGTTTTTTTTTAGACTGGTAGATGTTAATGAATCTGTTCCGAGTTGTTGGTGTGACTCTAAAAGAAGCCCTCCTTACAACTTCAGTTTAAAGGGGTGGGGTTAAACTGCCGTAGGCTGAATAGGTGTACTATAGCTGCGTTCCAAAGCCTAGGCTGCAGTCGAGGTAGGCTGCATTTCTTGGCTATTCCAAAGTGAAGGACACAGCCTATGTTCTGAGTGCTTTTCTAAAGGATGCATCAGATGTGTCCTTCCAGGCCTTTGGTTACCCACAGTTCTCTGCGCACAAACACCGCAAAGGAAAACCACCACCAAAATGATGGAAAACAAAGCCGTCAGAGCAGAGCTTGTTTTAAAATATAAGTTGTTCTCATACTCGAATTTGCCTTTGTTACTTTATAAAGTGTAAAATGACTGATTAATTAAGGTGTTCGTCCATATATCATATACCGTACATAAATCGGATTTTATTCAGAAGTATTTGTGTAAGTACGTGGTTTATCATACTACATCAGAACATCTCCTCCATTTCCGTGAAAAAAAGAAAAAGCAACAAACTCAATGCAACGGGCTCCATTTTCTCTCACCAGTTACCTCACGAGTTTTGTGCCGCCATTGCAAGAGGCGGGACCTTTCTGGTGACGTCACCATGCATCCTCGCTAGGACTGCTTTATTTGAGTGACCAATAGCCTACTAAGGAGGAGTCTTCGTAGGACAGTCCTACCAATACCTGCCCTCCCGAGGCTGCAGCCTAGGCTTTGGAACACAGCTTATGCGTTCATACTGTATCATCCAGAGTGTAAACAGTACATTTTGAAACATTAACAATGGGCCTGATTCTCCAAAAGCTTTTAAAGTTTTTTCTTAAATGTTTTCTTGAGAAAGGTCCTAAGAAAAAGTCTACGTCAGATTCATGACGTGTTCTTAAACCACAGAACTGTTCATACCTTTGTGCTCTTGAGTGTGTGTAGATTCTGTTCTTACCCAAGAACAAATCCCATATAAGAAAAGATGAACGGTGAATGTCAGAATCTTCGTGAAAACTGTGTAAGTGGGATTTCAGAAGAAATTTCTTCTTAAGAATACTTGGTGAATCAGCCCCATTGTTCACACAGTACATCAGACTCAAGTTCAGTTGAGTGAGTCAAGTTCAGTTTTCGATTATATGAGCCCCTCTCAGTGTTACCACTAGCAACTTCATTGTCCCACAAGCGTCCCCAAACAGATTCTATCATCATTACGCTATTTTTATCGTCCCCAGGAAGACAGAACAGCATTAATCTGGAGCGTGTAAGTAGATGCTGCAGCTGACATCCAGGTTCATGAACTAAACAAGGCCGGGATTGAGGAGCCGGTGGGCAGCTGGGGGGCAGACTGCTGCTGGACACAACCACGGCCATAAAGAACCCTTCTGTCTTGTTGTCTGCAGCCGCACAAATAAGAGAAAGGCAGGATGGATGGAGAAAGTAAAAGGAGCGATAGACGAACAGGGTGGGAAGCTGGTGGAAGAGTAATGGGAACCAGATATTGCTGGAGGTTGCCATATTTTTTCTCTACAAGATGTGTAAATACAGAAAAAGCCATTTACAAACAAATCATTACTGTCGGAACAAAACTTCATACCCCTGAAATGGTAACTTCAGAGGAGAAAGCAAAAACATTCTTTGTTTATAATGTAAGTCAGTGTAACAAGATTTTTCTGTAAGTAATTTTAGAGAGTTCCTATTGGGCCACCCATCATTGAATTTGTGCAAAGTATAAAGGGCCTCTGGAATTTTTAAGTTATGTAAAGAAAGTCCAACACACATACGCATTAAACTGGTAGGTATAGATTAGGGTTGGGCGATATGACCAATATGATCATTTGATATTGTTCCATATCATTAAATATCAGTATCAGTGATTATTATATGTATTCCTTAATGCTAATTTTAAGTCTGAATAGCATTTTTGAAATCCAAAAAAGAGGATATAGGGTTTCATTTCAAAATGCTGTATATGCATTTTAAAAGCGCTTCAGCTGTAGTTAATAGAAAACACATATTTGTTTTTCTAAAAAAGGTGGTATTAATTAGAATATAGCATTGATATTTCTTGTATAAAGCTCACTCTCAACAACATATATCATGAAAACAAACATCTTCAATATACACCAATCAGCCACTTCAGTACACCTCCTTGTATCTACACTCACTGTCCATTTTATCAGCTCCACTTACTATATAGGTGCACTTTGTAGTTCTACAGTTACAGACTGTAGTCCATCTGTTTCTCTGCATACTTTATCACCCTGTTCTTCAATGATCAGGACCACCACAGAGCAGGTACTCTTTGGGTGGTGGATCATTCTCAGCACTGCAGTAACACTGACGTGGTGGTGGAGTGTTAGTATGTGTTGCGCTGGTCTGAGTGGATCAGACACAACAGTGCTGCTGGAGTTTTTTAAACACCTCAGTGTCACTGCTGGACTGAGAATAGTCCACCAACCAAGAATATCTAGCCAACAGCGTCCTGTGGGCAGCGTCCTGTGACCACTGATGAAGGACTAGAGGATGACCAACACAAACTGTGCAGCAGCAGATGAGCTATCGTCTCTGACTTTACATCTACAAGGTGGACTGACAAGGCAAGTATGTCTAATAGAGTGGACAGTGAGCACTGCTGTATCTGATCCACTCAGACCAGCACAACACACACTAACACACCACCACCACGTCAGTGTTACTGCAGTGCTGAGAATGATCCACCACCCAAATAGTACCTGCTCTGTGAGGGTCCATGGGGGTCCTGACCACTGAAGAACAGGGTAAAAGGGGGCTAACAAAGTATACAGAGAAACAGATGGACTACAGTCTGTAACTGTAGAACTACAAAGTGCACCTATATAGTAAGTGGAGCTGATAAAATGGACAATGAGTGTAGAAACAAGGCCTGATCGGTGTAAGTTTACAATAACTACATGTACCTAAAGACCATTTAGATACATTTCAGCAGCAATAAAATAAAGTACTGTAGACAAAAACAGAGTTTTATTTAAGGCTGTTTGACATTAGGCAACAGGTATTAATAGTAAAGTCATGACTGGTAGATTTTGTCACACAACCTTCCTACTTTGACAGGAAGGGGCCATCTGAGCGGCATGTTTGATTTTATTGATTATCGTTACTGCTTTATTGACCAGGTGATGTGGTCCACTAACTGATTTAGAAATCAATAATGGAAAGGGACTGTCTGTATTAGGGATAGTTCTCTTGGGACCAGAGAGTTAATAGCCACACGCTGTATGAGTCCGATTCCTCAAGAGGAGCACTGATACAGTCTAGAGCCTCAGTCTGGGATGTGCTGTGCGTGTGGAGATGACTGTAGCATTACTGTTTACACAGCCTTTAAACGGCACCACTGGTGTTTTTAGCACAAGTCAAAAAGAGAGATTAAGATGGAGAGAAATGGAAAAGAGACGACTACAAAGGAATGTTGGATTTGTCAGAAGTTGAACATCTCCAAAGAGAAAAAAACACAGTAGAATTTTGGCAACTGTACCTTTGGAGGCGTTCTCTCGTTCTCTCGCTCTCTCTCTCGTTCTCTCTCTCTCTCTCTCTCGCGCTCTATAAATCAGCTTGTCACTTGGAAGAAGGGAACCTTAAACACAGAATCAGAACAGAAGCATGTTTAAATACTCTCAAGGATGGTTTTATGCTTGGTATTGTGTAGAACATAAAAAAAAAATCTTGCTGTAAATATATCTGACTTTAAGATTTAGATTAGCAAAGATGAAGCCACAAAACAACAGTGCTGTCTGTTAAGAATGCACAGATGGAGCTACTGTTGATCCTCACATTAAAGGAGAATCCCACAGATTTTTCTTCATTTAATTCCAACATAGTTCAATTATAATTAAGTCTACAAACAAACAAAGTCATTGGGAGTCGTTTGGTTCTGTTCACAGTGGTGGTTATAGGAACTAGACATCTGGCAGCTGCCTCACATCAAGTGATTACATGCAATGGTTATGAATACACTGCCTGATGCCTCGAACATTGTTGTACAACAGTCAAACTTTTAAAATAAGGTTGTGGCCCATACATATTTATTAAAGTACAAGTACAGTGTTATAAAGCAAAACAGTTCCTTTATCTCTATTTTATCAACACATTCACTGGTCGACTAGGGATGCATGGTAGTAACAAAATCATATCAGTATCAGCAGATAGTTGCCGAAAGGTGCAGTGTGTAAGATTTAGTGGCATCTAGTGGTGGATTTGCAGATTGCAACCAAGTAAATCACCCTCCCTCACCCTTTGTTTTCCAAGCGTGTAGTAGAACCTACGGCAGCCGCCAGATTTTTTGCCATCACTTGCACCAATTTCGTTTTGCTTCTTCATGTTTTTGCTTCTTTGAGGATGAGGATTCAAACTCCTTTGCATTTTTCTTGTGCTAAATAATAAGTATGATTCCTCATTTGTCAAAATTTGGGGTCTCAAACTTTTCACAGCACAAAATGGTCAGCCAGCACCGACAGCAACCACTGCATCTTCTAACTGGTGCTACAGCGCCACCAAATTCAAGCTGCCACTTCAAGGTAGAAACGTGAAAGGCACTCCCTAGAGCTGGTGTTTGGTTTGTCCGTCCTGGGCTACTGTAGAACCACGACAGTGCAAGATGCCGACATCTGTTGGAAGAGGAGCCGCTCCCTATGTAGACATTAAATGTTTATTCTAAGTCAATGAAAACCCAAAGATTCGCTGTTACAGCTGATTATACACTAATAAAACACATGGTGTTGCACACTATATTCCATTTCTGCTAATAGCGCCCACTAAATCTTACACACTGCACCTTTAAAAGAATCATCAGCATCAGACGGATATTTAGACACGTCTAACACTTAAGACCATGACATATTTATTGTACTCTGGAACAGCAGAACGCTGGAATACTATGCTAAAATGTCCACATTTTATTAATTTTTTATTCATTTTCCATTTGTAACCCAATAGAAATGTTTTACGCTCAAGCAGATTTAGCTGCAATTTCTATATTTTTTCAATGTTTCTGTATCGACATCAGCATATATTTATACAAGGAAAATATCAGACACTGGCATCAGCCTACAATTCCCATATCGGTGCATCCCAGCTGGTGGTTTTGGATAGGAAATAAAATGGCTTTATTCGTGCTGTAGACTTCACCACTCCTGGTTCCCATCACCACCACTGTAGAGAATCCTGAGTCAGTAAGTTTCTCTACAACGAATCATTTCACATCAAACCACTCCGAATGACTTTGTTTACACCTCAACGGTCAAATTATATTGAAAATTTGAAAAATCTGTGGTATTTCCCTTTAATAATAACCAGTATGCAGACGAGTCAAATACGTTGAATCTAAAGCATTGGCAGCTTTACAAAGCCACGAATAAATAAAGAATATTAATATGTCAGGGGAAACAAAATAAACATGTAATATTTCTTCAACGTTAATGTTATTTACGAAGCTGAAGTTGGCTTCTTATTCGTCAGCTGCTTGTTCGAATTTGCCCGTTCCACCTTAAATGGTGCAGCAGTTACATTCTGGCGCCTCAGGCGCCAGAATGTAACTGCTGCACCATTTAAGGTGGAACGGGCAAATTCGAACAAGCAGCTGACTTCAGCTTCATATGTTCGTTATTTTAATAAACTTCAGTCAAATATCACGACGTGGAAAATGTAGGATAGCTCTCGGCTTGATTTCAACACTAAAAATGAGGTTTATGAAGATTTATCGCTAGTTTGAGCCGTTAGCGTTAGCTAGCATTTTCCTCGTCAAATGCAAATTCTCAGTGTTTAACTTACCTCGTCCACATTTCCCGACAGTTTGGCGACTAGCCTGCTACTTAACGCTACTTCTTCTCGGGAAAGCTTTCCACGGCGTCTTACTGCTCTCCACATCTTGTTCGTTTGACTTAGAAAACACACAGAAACAGTTTTAGTTGTAAACTTCAAGAGAAAAAAAAACTGATTTTACGCGCTTGCTAACGAGCTAAACCGGAGCCGGACTCGGTACGGTCACAGATGCCTTCACGGTGGCCCCGCATGAAGATGGATATCATCAGCATCCCTGTGTAGCCCATCTCAGGGGCTCGGGGATGATATGAGGAAGAGATATACGCGTTAAAAGAGTCCCAGAAATAATTTCTTCATCTTCTGTCAGAGTGTGACTCTCCTTTCTTCGAAGTCTCCACCGAGACGTCGAGCCGAGTCCAAAGTTAATCGGACGACATCGCCGCCTCTCACAGTTTGTATCAGTACAGTAAAAAAGCGAAGGACGCCGCCTGAAGACAAACGCAAGACTGAGAAAATGTCACTAAAAAGTGCGAAAAAGCCTAAGAATATGTCTGGAAACGGGAGAGAGACGCTTTCCTGAGCGAGTGCGGACGGAGGGGAGAGAGAGAGTGGCTGTGTGAGCGGCTGTGGGTTCAGAAACGCGGCTATGCTACACAGGCTAATCTACTCACACTGACACAACATCTCTCACTACGCGCACATCTGGGGAAGCCACCACACACACACACACACACACACACACACACACACACACACCACTCACACCACTCACACACCAAACACACACCTCCTCCACCTCCTTCTCCTGCTTAGGACAAAAAAAATCGCCCGTTTTTTTTCTTTTCTTCTGTTATTTCTGGCACCATTATGCGAAAATTAAGGAGCCCCTAAGGTGACATGGTCGTGGTCATAAATTAGTATATCGAGGGCACAAATTAATATATTGAGACCACAATATACTCCACTGAGGCCACAAATTACTATGCTGAGTCCAAGAATTATTACATTGAGGCCACAATTTACTATATTAAGGCCACAAATTACTATGTTAAGGCCACCAGTTACTATACTGAGGCCACAATTTACTACACTGAGGCCACAAATTACTATATTGAGGCCACCAGTTACTATACTGAAGCCACAATCTTCTACATTAAGGCCACACATCACTATATTGAGGCCACAGTTTAGTATATTGAGACCACAAATTAATATATTGCAGCCATCAGTTACTATATTGAGGGCACAATTTGCTGCACTGAGGCCACAAATTACTATATTGACTGTATGAATTATTGTATTGAGGCCACAATTTACTATATTAAGGTCACAAATTACTATATTGAGGCCACAAATGAATATATCGATGCCACAAGTTTCTATATTAAGGCCACAAATTACTATATTGAGGCCACAAATTACTATATTGAGTCCAAGAATTACTGTATTGAGGCCACAATTCACTATATTAAGGCCAAAAATTACTATATTGAAACCACAAGTTATATATTGTGACCATGAAATTTAAACAATTTAACTTGCTGCCTCAATATATTCATTTGTGGGCTCAATATAGTAATTCCTGGCCTCAGCATATTAATTCTTGGCCACGCTTTATTAAACATAATCACCAGGTCACCTTAGGGGGCGCCATAGAAAATATCAAGACATTAAGTAAGTAACAGTAAGTAATTTATAAGAACAATAAATAGGTCATTATTTCGACATAGTAAGTCATTTATTAGAGACGTTAAGTCAAAAAATTGACATGATACTGTCAAAAACAGAGGAGGAAAAACAATTCTGCTGGGCTTCCATACAGCTAGCCTGAATGTTTTTTCCTCTACTGTTTTTGCAGTATTATGTCAAATTTGTCACCCTAGTGTCTTGAAACAATTACTTATTTTTTAAACGTTGATACATGATTATTTCAAGATGATAAGTCATAATTGTGAGAAAATGAGTCATTATTTTAAGATAATAAGTAAGTAATTTAGAATAATTTAGTAAAACAATAAACGAGTCATTATTTGAACATAGTAAGTCATTATTTTGAGATGCTAAATCAAAAAATGTATCTAATACTCCCAAAAACAGAAGAGGGGGAACATATCTGATTATTTTTAATTAGCACTGCCAAATAATTACTTATTTTTGTATTTTATTTCAAGATGCTAAGTCAAATATTTTACATAATACTGCGAAAAACAGGAAAAACAAAAAATTCTGGCAGGCCTTCATACACATCATTAGCTAGCCTGAAATGATTAGAATTTCAACATACCTTAATAATAATTTTTTATTTTGTTCAGATTTTGTTCATTCATTTTTATAAAAGCAGAGGCCTCAATTAAGTCACTGTTGTTTGAGTCTAGCTTATTAACTCTAACTTAATGTCTAAGTGATAACTTTTTCAAGGCTTCTTACATTAAAGACTTCCTACATGTTTTTTTCCCAAAAAATTCCTGCAAAATTCAGTCACTGTGATGCACTGAAGTCATTCGGAGTGGTTTAAGGCTCTGTTGTTGTTAATGGTTCATAATACAGAAACTTAACAACTCAGATTTCTTCTTTCTGTTTACATCTCAGCAATGAATACATTATGAAAATACATTTTATGCAAAACCTACTCAAAACCACTGTAAACAATACCTTGTCTGACGCCTGAGGCCAACATTTTGTGTAATAATGTTCTGTTAGGGAGCTTTTAGCATCATTAAACGCCTCAGACATCTGGTTCCTATCACCACCACTGTGAACAACTCTGACTCGGTAAGTTTCTCTAGAACAGAGCGTTTCACACCAAATCACTCTGAATGACTTTACACTATAACCATGTAATAAGGCAGACCTTTTTAAAAATCAGTGGAATTCCCCTTTAAGTAGTACATTACCTTAGTTATTACACTGTTCACAGGACTATACTGTTTAAATACTTTACAATACAGAATAAAAGGCATTACTGGGTGTGGAAGGATGGATGCCTGAACACGGTGGCACTGCTGACAGAATAAAATGGTGTACTTACAATCTGTAGAACTGACGTCTCCCATCTATCATGTGAGAAAGAGGTGTTTTCCTGTTACATTGTGCATTCCCCATCCACCGCTTTCTAAAGGAGAGAGAACGAGACAGAGAGAGAATGAAACAGAGAGAGTGAGAGAGCCAAGGTCGGCACATCTGAATCTCGTCATTGCAATGCTGCAGGGCAATGAGAGAAAAGACAGAGCGAGAACAGGACAGCCTTTAACATGTGCTGGTCACGTAGTGTTGCTGTGGGTCCAATGTAGAGGAACCACCACACCATTTCAAACACCAGCCCAAGATTTTTAAAATCTCTCTTAGTTTGGGCTTCTTGATGCCTTTTGACCTCCTGAAAGGCTCCCAATGGTTCTTTACAGGCTGAACCTCTCAGGTCTCCTCTTAATGCTTCACAGATTGGACCTCAGTGGTTCCTCTTTGACTGGGCCTCTCAAATTGAGGTTCTTGAGGCCTTTTTGGCCTTGTAAATAGCTCATAATGGTTTTGCAAACTGATTCTTGATGTCTTGGCCTCCAAACGGACTCCCAGTGGTTTTTTGATCCTAAATCGTTGCTGGATTTATATTATGTTCTGGTGTCCACCATGGGTTACGCTGCTGTAAGAAGCTTAGCGGATGTGGCCATGCAAAGTGGTTCTTGGAAGGTGGCACACTCCCAGCGTAAAAAAGAGACATCTGTTGTTGTTGTTTATGCTGTCGCTGTTATTAGTGTGTAGTTGCTTTCATTAGAGTAACTGTGTCCGAGGAGGGTGGGCTTTGTAATGTTACAGTTGGTTATAAGTGTCCTCATATGTTGCATCCTCCCACCTTACCCCCTCCCTGTGTTTCATGTTGGGAGAGCACTCAGCTAGGCATTTTTTTGCTGCCAGCTGAAGTGCCTGTTTGAAAATTAGAGAGCATTTCCCTGTACGTGCCAAGTTGTTTACATCTTCTTCTGAGCTGATGCTACAATATAAACAACGTTTGGGCATTCTGTATGATGCAAAATCTTTCGTTGGAGCTACCTGATGGACTACAACTACCATAAACACTGAAATATAACTTGCTTCACTGTTCACCTGACTATGCTTGAAGGGATGGTTCAGACAGTTGGAAAATATTGTAGGATATTGCACATGCCAAATTGTGGGAATAGTCAAATTACATAGGCACACACATACAAAGGTCTTTCGCAAACATGCTATGATCTTTTTTTTATTCACAAAGGATTAATTACTTCTACCATGTGCAACAATAAACCACCGAAGTCATGTTGTCATTCTGTAGTTGGTGTCATGCTCGTATTAGACACTCCGGGCCTAAGCTGGATTTCTCTAAGTGAACAATAAATGGGATTTTTGAAAACCACCACTGTTGTGCCCTGTGGTTAACAAAATGGTTCTGAACATGATATGATTAACCCTACATACATGTTTATATACATACAAAACCTGTATATGTCATTCAGGATTAAAGGTGCCTTCACAGATGTGCACGTCACCCATGCCCTGTGCACTAATGCCCCTATACCTTCATGAATACTGGCTTTTGAACTGCACACTGATAACAAGCCAAGTGGTCTTTAGCCTGGAAGACACAACGTCCATGATTTCCAAAAAGAATTTCAAATTTTGACTTGTTGGCCCACAGGACAATTTTCCACTTTCCCTCAGTCCATTTTAAATGAGCTCAGGCCCAGAGAAGGTGGCAGCGTTTCTGGATCCTGTTTATATATGCTTGCTTTTTTGCGTTTTAGAGTTTTAACTTGCATTTGTGGATGCAGTGAGCTGTTTTCACAGACAGTGTTTTTCAAAAGTGTTTCTGAACCCATGCAGTGATTTCCACTACAGAATCATGTCTGTTTTTAATGCAGTGCCGCCTGAGGGTCCAAAGATCACAGCCAGCAAATACTGTTTTTTGGCCTTGTTCCTTGCAGACAGAGATTTCTCCAGATTCTCTGAATCTTTTAATGTTATTATGTAACGTAGATGATGAAAATTGCAGTCTTTCACAGAGTGGTGAATCCCTCCTCATCTTAAATTCTGAAAGACTCAGCCTCTCTGGGATGCTTTTTTATACCCACATCAGGTGTTTTTAGCATTACACAACTTTACCAGCCTTTTGTTGCCCCGTCCCAACTTTTTTGGAATGTGTTGTTGGCATCAAATTCAAAATGGGCAAATATTTTTCAAGAAACAATAAAATGTCTCAGTTTCGACATTGGATATGTTGTCTTTGTACTATTTTCAATTAAATTAAGGGTTTAAATGATTTGCACATCATTGCATTTTGTTTTTATTTACATTTTCCACAGTGTCCCAACTTTTTTGGAAATGGCGTCGTAAGATACAATCATCTATTCTTGTTCATTGTTTACAACTACTAAAATACAAGCCTAAAAAAGCCTACATTGGCTGAT